TAACAATGACAGAGCATCATCATTGTAGTTACATCTTACAATGCAAATCCTCAACATGAAACAAACAAGAAGGGCAAAGAATTTGGCTGACGCAGAGGCACCACACTGGAAATCCCAGAAAGAAGAGTTTGAATTGGATTTCTTTTCTCTTTCTAGGTGCAGAGAATGTGGAGCATGTGTTGATCACAATCATCCAAGGAGCAGTTGATTATCCTGATCCTATTGCTCAGAAAACCTGTTTTATCATCCTTTCAAAACTGGTTGAACTCTGGGGTATGTTTGCGTTTGTTTCCTGGAAGCTTAGATTTGATTTAGACAAAACATCTTTTTACTGCATGTGTTTAGGTGTGTGCATTTTCCTTCAAATGCTGCAATAGTTGCTGCAGATGTATTTGATGAAAATGCTGCAGTGTGTGATTTTTTTGTTTTGTTTTGGGGTTTTTTTTTTGTAAGAAGGACACATGCATATTCTTATTCTCTTTTTTTAGGGGGCAAAGATGGACCTGTGGGATTTGCTGACTTTGTCTACAAACACATTGTTCCTGCCTGTTTCTTAGCACCTTTAAAGCAAACATTTGACCTAGCAGATGCACAGACAGTATTGGTACGTAAATGTGTCACGTAAGTTATTCCTAAAGATATATGAAAACTAAAAGGGAATTCTAAACAATTAATCTATCTGACAAAAGATGCCAGCTAGTCTTCTGTAGACTGCTCAGAGGAATATTACAGGCCTCTTCTAGAACAGACATTTACTTAATCTGGATAACGTCTTTATTTCAGGTTTATTTATTTATTGTGTGAGAAGTGAATTGAAAATATAAAATGTATAAAAACCCACAAACAAAGTTTAAAACTTGGCATTATACTAAATTTTCTTTGTATTTCGGGTGTACTTGGGGTACTCAGGGCTATGTGACATTGTGAGAAATACAGTTAATGTATCTAGTGTCATCCTGAATACAGCACAAATTAGTGAAAGTATTTAGCCCTTACACTGAT